CTTGGATGGCCACTATTTTTTCCAGGACTTTGGATAAAAATGGAAGGTTAGATATTGGTCTATAATTCAATGGGTCATCTGGACCCAGAGAAGGCTTCTTAAGTTAAGGTTTGATTATAGCAACCTTAAAATCTTGTGGTACATACCCATTTACTAAGGATAGATTGATTATATCTAGAATGGGGCAGTAACCAAAGGAAATGCTTCTTTAAATAATTTGGTTGGGATTGGATCTAAAATGCAAGTGGAAGGTTTAGATGAAGCTAATATTTTTGATAACTCTGAAAGCTCAACTGGATCAAAATGGTTCAAGCACAGATGAGGTTCTACAGTTACCTCTGATGCTGCCTCACTTACTTAGGAAGAAGAAATCGCATTAGGGAGGATGCTAAAGATTTTGTTTCTAACAGAATTAATTTTACTTGTGAAACATCCCATAAAGTCGTTACTGCTGAGGGCTAAGGGAATAGATGGTTCAGATCTATGATTCTGTGTAAGTCTGGCAACTGCACTGAAAAGAAATTTAGGATTATGCTTATTCTCCTCAATTAATGCTGAGAAATAAGCAGTTCTAGTTCATCGAAGCTTATTTTTATAAAGCACAAGACTATTTTTCCAGGGTAAGTAGGCCTCCTCATGGTGTGTAGAGCGCCATGTTCTCTCCAATTTTCTAGAGTTTTGCTTTAAGGCTCGTAAATGAGAATTAAACCAGGGAGCCAACTTCCTGTCCCTTATTACATTCTTTTTCAAAGGGGCAACATCATCTAATGCCACACGTAAAGAGGAATTCACATGATGAACTAAGGCATCAATTTGTGAGGGGCTAGAACTGAAAATATTGCCTTCTGCTACATGCCTCTGAGATGCTGAGGACAGTAAAGATGGAACAGTTGATTTAAAAGATGCAACTGTGTTGTCAGATAGAGACCGACTATAGTGAAATTTACTTTCATGTCTCGAGAACTCAGTTATAAAAAACTCAAAGGTTATCAGAAAGTGGTCCGAGAGGACTGGATTATGTGGAAAGATTGTTATTTCCTCACACTCTATGCCATAAGTCTTTGTAAATTGTTTATTATTCAAACTAACAAGTACAGCAACGGTGTAGCTATTCTTTTCTATTTCTTAGCTGAATTAGCAGACTTCATACTTCCAGGGCGCACTGCCGCCCTCTGCTGGTTCTTTCAGGTTACAGTCATAGTCCAAACGGGTTATGTATGTCCCTAGATGGTGGATGACCATGGAGCCTCGACCACAGTATATGTATATAAAAATGTATAATTTCAAGTTGAGAGGAATTCTTAGAACTGATGTTGGTGAGAAATATTAGTGAAAAAGGACAAGTTTGTGAACTGGAAATACAGGATTTGATAGTTAACAAGTAAAAATACCACACACTGTGCCTTCAAAAAGCAGCTGAACTTGTTCAAGCTGGTTTTGGTGTGACCTTCATCACCCTCTCCTTATTCTGCTCTCCCCACCTATTCCACCTTCCTCAGGATCCGCTGATTTCCCTCTTTCTGATTCACTCTCTCTTTCTTATTTACATTTTTAATCACAATTGTCTATTTTTTTGCTCATTTTAAATATATTTTTAATCATTTTCTAAATTCTTTTTTACATTTTACATTTTTTGTTTTTGTGAAGCGCCTCGTGATTTTTATCTTGAGAGACGCTATAGAAAAGATTTCTTCTTCTTCACCCTCCAGGCTTTCTCAAGTTCTTCTTTGAGGCCCTGGTACATCTCTAGTTTCTCGTGCTCCTTTTTCCTGATCACTTGGTGTTGCCACATCAACCAAAACAGCTCTCCTCGGTTGTTTGTCCACCACCATAATCTCCGGTTAGTTCTCCATCACCATTTTGTTAGTCTGGCTCTGGAAGTCCCACAGGAGCTTGGCTCTCTTGTTCTCTACCTTCTTAGGGGGTGTTACCCACTTTCAGTTTGGGGCTTCCAGTCCACACTCTGCACAGACATTTCTGTATACTGCGCCAGCTACTTGGTTGTAGGATTTCCCTGCCAGCATCTTACACCCTGCAGTTATGTGATGGATTGTCTCAGTGGCCTTTTTGCATAGCCTACACCTAAAAATAAAAAATATGTTTTATTGTAACAAATATGTCCACTGATTGTTCATGATTGCAATATAAAGCAGTTCTCCCATATCCCAAATATCTAACCCAGTTTTTTTTCCATCCAGGGAAGTCTTTTCCTAGCACGACGTTTGAATTAAGAGCACATCTGATTGTTATTCTCCTTCTTGAGTCAATTTGTTCACTACGGTGCAATTATATTTGAAAACACATCAGTCAGATACAAGTGCTTTTGATGTCTTCATTACTCAGTAATCTAGTGAAGGTGTTATGAGGATATTGGGCGTGTACGGATTTAAGTTTAATGATCTTAGTGCAACAGAATAGAACAGAATAGAATAGACAAGCAGCATATACACTTAGGAGAACAGGAAATAAATAAACAGATATAATACCATAAACACAACCTAAGCAAAAGGCTGCGGTAACGGTACTGTCAGTAATGAGACGGGGTTCGATTCCCTGCAGGGCCCTGCTGGTAATCCTTAGACACTAAAGCATTTATTAGAAACCTAAAACCTTTTTAGTTTAGCCGACATTTGATTGTAACTCACCTTGATGAGAAATGAAGAAAATAAAATTATAACCTAGAAAATTCCTACAGAAACCTTGATGAAGCTATTTAGATCACACAGTCTTGCAGAAACATCCAACAGAGGGTGGAGACTATTGTAGCCAATCAGAGAGCTGGATTTTATCACCTTGTGGGGAGCGGACCATAGGGAGCCTAAGTCACGCCCATCTTCTTCTGGACCATGGGCTTCCGGAAGAACGAAAAAATTAATGCAAGTCAACGGGGCTAAAAACACTATTTTTCAATTCAAGTTTACTTATATAGCGCCAAATCACGACAAGAGTCGTCTCACGGCACTTCACATAACATTCCAATACAGTTCAGTTCATTAAGCCAATCAGAAAAAGTTTCCCATGTAAGGAACCCAGCAAACTGCATCGAGTCACTGACTAGTGTGAGAGTCTTTACAGTATTTTCTAATCCTGTTTGTTTTGTGCCATGGATTTCACATGATGTCCGTGAATTTTAAAAACACGTGTTGATACCATGGATGATTACCCCCTTGCTACCAAATCCAACGAGGAAGACCTCTAAACCTCCCAATTGGACTGAACCTCCCAGTGGCGCACCCTGAGTTGTTTTATTTCCCCTCCCTCCATGGAGCACCTTTAGTTCATCTCCCCTGAATTAAGCTAATTTCCTTTCTTTTGAGTGTTTGGTCCAAGTTCGCTCATTTGAGTCCTTCCTTCTGTCATGGTCTGGGGAAGGCGTTTAACCCAGGACATGCAGAATCACAACACTCTCACAGATTTAACAAAAAAAAGAATGTTTATTTTGTTTTAAACGAGAATATAAAGCGCACTGGGAATTCCAGTGGAGGTCGGGAGAAATGGATCGCAGCGTCTGAGGGGAGAGCAGATAAAGGTGAGTCCTGAGAGGTAAGTCTTAACTGAGGAGGTGCAGAGAAAAGACTTACAGGGAATGAGGGAGGTGTAGGTACTGGGAAGGGCAGATCGAGAGTCGGGGTGCGTCTAGGTGAGTAGGTCCAGGAGAGGGAGCGTGGGAGAGCAGGCGAGCGGAGCGGATGGATGAATGGAGAACACCGGAGAGCTGCGTCCTGTAGAGTTACTGTATGTGGCAAGGTGAGTATCTTGATGAGTTGTTGAATCCAGAGAGGTTCTTTTCACCAGAGATGTTTAAAAAAAACCCTGAAGCAGGCGTACACATCACAAAGAACAACTAAATCAGAATTCACAAGAGGCCAAAAACACTGAAGCACTAGAAGGCTGGAAACTACCGAGTTGTAGTAATCATCCCGTGTCGAGGTGTGTTCTCCAACTACTTAAGTAGCCGGTCCCACTGACTGCTAACCTGACGCAGCTGGAAGCCTCCCTCTCCTGAAACACAACTCAAAGGTGGAATGTGTGAGACGACTACTCACCCCGACTCATGACACCTTCCTCATCATGAAGAAAATATTGTAACAACTACATTTTTGCCAGTTCTTTTTGAAAACACGGAGTTCTGTAAGTCACTTTACAGGTTTAAGCTTTAACACAATTGATTAAATTATGCCAATTTTGATTACAGAAATATTTTCAGTAAAAATATTATTTGTAATTGCATCATGAAACTGAGAAGTTATGAGAAGTCATGTGCTGCAGGGATCATGAGGGAGTCAGGACAAATATCAAATGACTACTCTGATACATGTCTAATGGATAGCTCAACTGGTAAGGCACCTGACTTGCATGCAGAGGACCCGGGTTGAAATCCAGGCTGGGACAAATACCAACAACCAGTGTAAGTCATTAGGTAAGGCCCTTGGTGCTACATCATGCATGATGTACAAACTATGGCTGCAGTATCACCTGACTAAATAGGTTTTGATACAAGAAAGGGTTGATTTGTAAATATTATTGATATGCAAAATGAACAAATACTTTTTGTAGATTTAACAGATATTTAATATGATTTCAATCACTGTAAATTAATTTACAGTTCTTCAGTAAAGGTATTTACTGTGCAAGTGTAAAATCTACAGGAAAACTATGGTAACCACAGCTGCCAGGGATTTCCTGCTTTTGTAACTACTTTATGAACTTTAGTCGTGAATAAAGGGAAATGGAAAACAACGTCAGAATGATGACCCCACGTTCTGCCGCATCCAGGGTGAGGTGACATCTGGAGAACTGGACAGCAAACAGACCAGACAGCTAATAGTGATCAGCTAAATGATTGTTTACCTGTTGTTGTGAGTTTGCAGCAGGGATGATGTAGGAGGGGTAACGCGGTAGGAAGGCCCTCCTCACCCACTCTGCCCCTCTCTCACCACCTCTCCTCCTCCCCCCTCCAGCAGCGTGGCTCACTCACTCCTCTCCCCGTTCCACTACTCTCCTCTCAGTCTGAAGGACTCCAGCTGCAGGTCGCGGCGGAATCTGGGAGCCAAGATGCGGGCTATCGGGGCCGCGGGAATCGGTGTGCTGTGGGCGGCGCTGGTCGTGCTGGTCCCCGGCTGTGTGTCGGAGCTGGTGACACTGGTGCAAGAGCAGGTCCAGCCTGAGTCCTCTCTGCTGCCTCCGAAGGTTATGATCGCGATCCTGGCGCGGAACGCAGCGCACAGCCTGCCGCACCACCTGGGCTGCATCGAGCGGCTTGAGTACCCGAAGGAGCGCATAGCGATCTGGTGAGAGCTGGGGTGGAGTTGGAGAGACCAAACTTTACTTTCAGACACGTGTGTGTGTGTGTGTGTGTGTGTGTGTGTGTGTGTGTGTGTGTGTGTGTGTGTGTGTGTGTGTGTGTGAGCCTGTAAAATGCGCGGTGGTCTGACCAGCGTGTGTCTGCAGACCTGTTGCAGCCTTGTTACCTCGCGTGTCTGCTGGCATCTAAATTGCACACTGCAGAGGAGATGAAAGAGCTTTTGTGCATGTAAAGGTTGGCCTCAACCCTTAATCACGCGTTTCCTTTCTCAGTTTCAGCATAAACTTGTGGAAACGGGCCTTTAAAACAGCAGGAGCTCTCCACAGGTGAGGCAGGACAAGGGAGCCTGCAGGTGGAGGGATGAAAGCAGACACTGAGCTGGTCTGACAGGAGTGTGTGTGTGTGTGTGTGTGTGTGTGTGTGTGTGTGTGTGTGTGTGTGTAAAATCACGTGAGATGTGTGCCCTTGCATGGATGGTGCTCATGAAGGCTTGGGAATCATATGATAATGATATCTAGGAAGTAAAGAGCTTTCTGGCTGCAGTATTGTTGATGATCTGATCAGGTGCATGTAAAATATGTAAAAGAATGACATAAATAACATGGAAGCTGCTTCTGGTTCTCATGAAACTTTGTTGTAGTCTGTCTGGCAGGCGGTTCTGTTTCCCACCCTTCCGTTGGTGAATGTCTTGTTTGTACAGAGCCTGTTTCTGATTCAGAGACCCTCACAAAAACAAAAACATGCAGGCACAGCCTCTGTAGGGGGGCTTTACTTTACAGCGCAGAGCAAAAGAGACGGGGCTTAAATGTCTTTGTGAAGGGTTTAACCAACAGCAGAAAGGCCTCGTCGTCAGTTATGTGAGGCATTCTCACTGCCGGGGAGTCAGTTGATGCACAAAAACATCTTCTCAAAGAACACACATTAGCTAACTTGCGTTGTTAACCCTCTCAGGCTCAAATAAGTTTTGACAAAAGGACGAACAACTAAGTCCTTCAGAGGTACTTCTGAGTTAAAGAATGCTCATGAAATACGTATGTGGAGTAACCAGGTAGGTAACGTTGTAAATCTGCAACGCCTGCCTCCAGAGGGTTAAATAAATTCATGTAGCCACTACTGTTTAGCTTCTTGAACGGCGTCTGTTTAGAGGAATATAGTTTATGCTTAACATAACCAAGCTAATGCTTAAGTCTGATTTATACTTCTCCATCTGCATCGATGTAGAGACACACAACACCCTAATGCATTGATGCAAGGGCTCTCCAACGAGCTCACAGAGCGTGACGGAGACATGCCCAAAATTATAAACATCCCCGCAAACTTGTGATTGGTCAGGATGCTGCTTCCTGTATATTTGCCACAACCATTACTGTTGCACCGTTAAATAGTAAAAAGATATTTAGCGGCAGACCCAGAACAGATTGAAGAATGCATCATGAAAAAAATCAGAAAATATGAACGTTTGTTCACCCATGTCTGAAGGACTACAAAATACGGAGCAAACATGAACGGAAACGATGGGATACGTGGGTTTAGAGGTGGCGACCACATGAAGAGGCGGAGGAGAATGAAAGACAATTTTGTCCGTCTTTTAAAGTCACACATTTGGTAAATACACTGCAGTGGACCGGATACATCAATGATGTCGTGGCAGGATACCTCGGAATAGCGCTCTTCCCTCTGCTGTCCTGGCGGGGAATTGTTTTGCAACGCCCTGCTGCCTTCACTGAAGTTCACATGTAAAAACCTTTCTGACACTCCGTGTGCGTCTCTCCGTTGCAAAGCTCTCAGAGAGGCAGAAATCAGGCTTTACTCTGAGTACAGCATAGTGGTTCATACAAAGGTTATTTTATAAACTGTTGCACAGGCATTCATTTTGTATTGCATTGTTTTCATGATTATTTACAAAAGTAGCAACTAAATGTAACCTTCTGGTTCATCCATGGGTCAAGTCCAGCAGGAAGTTTCTAATTTCCATCCATCCATCCATCCATCCATCCATCCATCCATCCATCCATCCATCCATCCATCCACCCACCCACTCTGCTTAAGTAGGTTTAGTTTGTAGGGGCAGTAGTCTAAGCAGAGAATCCCAGACTTCCCTCTCCCCAGCCACATGGAAAGAAAAAGAAGAAAGAAAATGATCTTTTATATAGCGCCTCTTAAGAAAAAAATCACGAGGAGCTTCACAATAATAAAAAAAATTTGAATGCAAAAACGATTTTTAAAAATTATTCAAAATATGTTTAATATGACAAAAAATGTGATAAAAAAGTAAGGAAAGGGAGAGAGAAAATGAAGGAAATCGGTGGATCGTGGGAAAGGCAAAAAATGGGCAGAACGAGGAGAGGGTGATGATGAAGGTCACATCAAAGCCAACTTGAACAGGTGAGTTTTCAGCTGCTTTTTAAAGGCGACCACTGAGTCCACTGATCTCAGGCTCAGGGGGAGAGAGTTCCAGAGTCTGGGGGCCACAGCAGCAGATGATCTGTCACCTTTGGTCTTTAGCCTGGTGCTGCACAACCAGTAGGCTTTGGTCACTGGACCTCAGGGACCTGCTGGGGGTGTAGGGACTGAGAAGATCACCAATGTATGATGGTGCTTGTCCATGTAAGGCCCCATAGACCAGAACCAGGATCTTGAAATGAAACCTGAAGTTGATTGGCAGCCAGTGAAGCTGGAGGAGAAGCGGGGTGATGTGGGTGTGTTTGGAAGACTTGGTCAGAAGCCGAGCACAGGCATTCTGAACCACCTGTAGACGGTTCAGGGAGGTTCTGCTCAGACACGTGAAAAGAGAATTGCAGTAGTCTAAGCGTGAGGAGATGAAGATGTGGATAACTGTCTCAAGTTCAGAGCAGGACAGACTCAGCTTTGCAATGTTCCTGAGATGGAAGAAGGAAGAGCGAACAAGAGAACTGACATGAGAATCCAGGGTGAGAGCTGGGTCAAAGGTCACACCAGGATTTCTGACAGAGGGTTTGGTGTGAGAAGCAAGCTGACCAAGAGAGTCTAACTTTGGTAACCAGCTTGGGTCAGCACCACCAGGGGAATCCTAAGGCATTCCCTAGCCAGAGAAGAAACATAGTCCCTCCAGCGTGTCCTGGGTCTTCCCTTAGGTCTTCTCCAGGTTGGATGTGTATGGCAAACCTCATCAGTGAGGAATCCCAACATTATGTCTGAGCCACCTCAACTGGCTCTTCTAAATGTGGAGGAGCATCTGGTCTACTCCGAGCCCCTCCCGGATGACAGAGTTTCCCACCCTATTTCTAAGGGAAAGTCCAGACCACCCTGCGGAGAAAACTCATTACAAATGCTTGTATCTGCTCTCTCTACCCAAAGCTCGTGACACAGACGTAGACATAAATCGACCAGTAAATCAGGAGGTCCGCCTTTAGACTCAGCTCTCTCGGTACAACAGCTTTTTGAGCTCCTGCTCTGTCTTTTCCTCATTTGTGAACAAGACCCCTAGATACTTTAACTCCTCATCTTGGGGCCGGACCTCATCCCTGACCTGGAGAAGGCATTCTACCCTTTTCCGACTCAAGACCACGGTCTCAGATTGAGAAGAGCTGATTCTCATCCCAGCTGCTTCACACTCGGCTGCAGAAGGTTTGATGAAGAGAACTGAAACACGTCGTCAGCAAAAAACTGTTCCTAACTTTTCTACCAAAATATCAGTGAAATGCAAAACTGACAGTGGCACAGGGATTTTTTAAATAGAAAGTTGCATTTAAAATGGAATTTACGAGATTGGGTGAAGGCAGCAGTATTATTGGGTCTTAGTTATGCTAGGAGTAAGTAATCAGCTCTGATAGATGTTTCTATTTCTCTAAACAATGGCTGTTCAGGAAGCTATTGAGGACAGATTAGATTGTAATACCTCTTAAACACATTTCAAAGTACCACAGTTTTTGTTGAGGGGTAATCTTTTTAGTGCACAGCCATTGATTCATAGCACAAACCCTGGATGTTAACGTGACAATATTTCTAGTTTGTAACTTTTTGTGGTTAAATGAAGATAATTACATGTTTAACTGAATATAACCCAAGCAGCTCTGTGCTACTGTTTCATCACATCTGCTCAATAGACGCTAAATCACCTAATAAATGTCAGATCTACACAGAGGCGTGTCATAGCGTTTCACAGATTACTGCAGGAAAGTGACTGACTATAATAAAAGCACTTGTTTAAAACTTTAAACATGAGTGAGAAGCGTCTCAGATCCTAAACAGCTAGTAAATTTGGAGTGAAAGCTCTTGGAGAAAATGTTTCCTTTTGACTTAAATTAAATTTAATGGCAGTTTTGGACTTTATTTGACAGAAGAAGCAAAAAGCCACTGAACACATTTACACTGGGGTTTCTACTTGAGTGGAAAACATTCCCCCTTGAATTATGATAATCTAACAACAAGGTTGAAAAGAGGGAACTGACTTTGTTCTGTTGTTCAAAGTAAATCTTGTATTTGCTTGTTATTTTGTGCGGGATCTGACTTGTGTAGATATGTCGGGAGTGGGCCTTTCCTTTAAGAGGAGGAGTTCAAGTATCAAGTTGAGTGACTTTTGATCAGAGGTATACAAACATTTCAAGATGCTAGTTCCAGTTGTCCCGTTAATAGCCATTGTGGGCCAACAACATGTGATATTTTTATTTTAAAACGACACATTTTTCAGTAGTTAGTTGTTTCCATTTTTACTCATTTAAACAGATCCAAAATAGTCAACATAAAACATAAACATGTTAGAAAATATCTTTCATTCAATAACCTGCCAGGAAGACAAAATTGCATTTGGGGGCTGCTCAAAATTCCTCAGCCTTCCTAATGGCTGCAGGGCCGCACTTTGGACATGATTGTCTTAGAGCACTTTCACATAAGAAGATCTTTCATGGAAGTAAAAACAAAAAGTCTGAGTACCCGGCTCGGAGGGTTACCGGGGTCCCACCCTGGAGCCAGGCCTGGGGTTGGGGCCCGTGAGCGAGCGCCTGGTGG